TTCACCGCCCACGGATATGATGATATTTTTCATGGATATACCGAAAAAAAAAAATATATATATATATAGTATAAATCCACATTCTATATATACTGAAAGGAAAAAGAAACGCAAAACTTTTGAGGTGAATTAAATTTGTTTCTCTTAAAATACTATATATATATGTATAACCAAATTCTATAATTCATAAGTCCACATTATATATATATTTCATCAGAGTGTTTATCTGTCAAATCCTGGCTATATTAAGCATGTATAAATCCACACACAAATGTTTTCTTTCAAATTTCGTACGAATGTATTGAATATAATCATCTACTCTATAAATGGCTGTTTTTGTATTAGCAGGACGAATAACTCGCTCGTAACATGACTCTGTTTCGCGTTACCGTCATCGTCACGGTTGATTGAAAACCACTCCAATCTCTGACAACGGCTAAAACGTTTTATGGGGGAAAATTTACAAGAGACTGCTTGTAAACCGTTGTTGCCTTTTTCATTAATTAGGCATTTCGAAAACAAGACCCCATTGAACTTCCGTAAACTGTGCCAAGATTGCAATAAATTCATAATGTCTCTTAATAATGAAAAACGATTGCATACTTCATATGCATCAAATAATGCAACAAGATTTGTTGACAAACTCGTTGTTATCAAATTGCACGTGTTTTGTTTTTAGATTTTTTTATGATATATATAGATGCAGAAAAATTTCCCTTCCGACCAATTTTCGGGAGGGGTCATTTTTATCGTCTTTATATATAGTTTTATTGTATTGTCAAACTCCTGAAGATTGGAAATGAAACCGTTTGAGTTTATTTTGGTGTTGTGATTTTTTTATGATATACATGTATATAGAGAAATGGGGAGGGGTCATTTTGTCTTTTTTTGAGCTTTGATATAATTATAAAGCTGACCGTTTTGCACTTTTAATTTGTAACTCTTTCTATAATCACTTTAACCTTCATTTTATTTTATCAGATGTATTTTATCAGGTGGAATTGAGATTTTTAAAAAGTGGGAATAGAAGACACCGTTTAAAATAATGTAAGAAAAAGTTGGGGTCAGTGATGAACATTTTGAAATATATTGGTTAAAATATGCGATTCTCAAAATAAGAAAGCTCAGTGTAAACTTCATGAATTCATAAATATATCTTCATTTCTTGGCAAAGTTTGTTGAGGGATGGTGTAAAATTTGTTCTCAAAGTAATAATTAAGACCTATTTTATATTCTTAGCATATCATAATGGAATATAATCTCTGAGTAAAAGTATGTGAGAATGAAGTTCCAAGATATTGAATTTAATAAAATGAAGATTTGCCAAATTTTGGCTATTATATAGCTAAATATCCTTTCATCGCGAAATACTTGATTATGAATTTTTTAGCATTTTTCTGAGTGAACTGAATGATTAGGAAAATTAGAAAACATCAGAACAATCTATTGTTCAGATTATTTGTATCCTATTTTAAAATTATCTTTTTTTTTTAGTGTTTGACTTGGTGAATTTTAATCCATATGTTGTGAACAGTTTAATTATACAGTTAATAGTAAAAACTTTAAGTCAATTTAACTTAATTTTGAATGGATTAATATCTTTTTTTTAAATAAACGTTTAATGTACGCAATTTTCTCCCCAATTTAAATGAAAAAGTTAAAGAAAACATGTACTTATTTAATAAGAATAATACATTATCTTGATTGTCACAGTAAGAGTTTTTCAACTGAAAAAATGGCAACACATGTGGTCGTAAAATGTTTACTGTTGGGGCTAAAACCCCATCAATTTTCCGTTAGAATAACTTCTGGTCTCTGAATGTGAATTCTGATAAATGGCGTGAAATCAATTGCACCATATTGTGATGAAGTTTAAAAAAAAGGTGGGGGACAAAATTTTAAAGCTTATATAGTGTGAATGAGAGGGTTTGTGGACAACTGTAGCAATTCATTTTGATAATCAGATTACTATACACAAGTTTGTCATTTTGCTAATCTTCATTGACTGCATTTTCATTTTTTTCATTTGTTGAATATATACCTTTGGTAAATTTAGTCTACATGTACATTGTTTCTAAACCATAGGTTTTAACAGAATTAGTCAGATTTATTGAACGGGGACTGCACATGCACATGAATCATGCTCTGACTTTTTACCTTACACCTAATACTTTTTATATACTGAAGATTCCCAAATGCATGCAAGCTGGAATTAGATATGTAAAGCATAATTTTTTGCGAGATGAACCAGTGCTAGCTCGCAAAATAAATTTACTTGCCTTTTTGTTTTTTGGATACACATATATGTATATGAATGTAAAATTTCTGGAGTGATTTCCATGTACCGGTCCACTTGCAAATTAGTTCTCATAATACAACACCTTTTAGGAGTCATTTTGCAATAAAAGCACTTGCTTATTAAAAAAAGCACTTGCTTAATAAAAGGAATCTACAGTAGTGCATATGCATTTGTTTTTTATTGAATACATTCAAAAAATGTTCATAACCAAAATACTCTTAGCCATTATGTGTCTTTCATTAATTAAAGTAGAATTATTATCAAAAGAATTTTTTTGATTACATTTGTCTTTAAGGCAACAGAAAACATTTTGTCAATACAGCATGTAGGTTTTTAATGATGAGAGCTTGACAAATGATGAAAATCATTAGTTCTGACCCCCAACTTTCTCTCTCTCTCTCTTGCTCTCTCTCTCTCGAAACATTTAATGCAGAATTTCAAGCCATGATGCAGAAAATTGACATTTGCATAATTTACAAGATTTTATTTAATGATGATAAATGAAATAGCCATCAGAGTCGTCTTGATTAATTGTTGCTTTGCTGCTGTCTTGTTGGCTTTGAATTTCTAAATGACAATCGACAGTGAGTTAAATTGTAAAGAGGCTTTGCGTTAATTTAGATTTTGTGTGTATGTATGTTCTTTACGGATTTCACTGACTCATGTCATCGTTCTCTTCTATCGTCCAGTTAATGCTCCCGAAACATAATGGGCTAAAACAGATATTTGTTTATCGGGTGGAAAATTATTTTCCTTTACGAAATTATCCCACTGCATGATTTCATTAGAAAATGTCCCAACTAATTTTTCAGTCTCGGTAATAAAATTTTTTCTTTGTTTTATGAATTTATGAAAAGCTTTGGTGTTGTTATCTTTGTAAATCTAGAAGTCACGACTGACGTATAGTGTAAATTAAATTTGTTATTACCTAATCATACCCAGGTACATGTATTATTATATTTTCGGAGCATATGACCTACATGCAGTTGGTTGACACAGATAAAATGTTTATTTCAAAAAGAATATAAGACAAAATAAACTCCAAGAAATAAATTTCTTTACATTTTCATTAATTTTTCTCAGTTTGACTTAAGGATATTACCTGTGGAAATTATATTGCTTAGACAGTGATTATGAATTTATTTGTTCTACATGTAATTATTATCATCATCAGAGGAAGTTATTTTAGTAATAAGCCCATGATGGAGTCATTGACACAGGTGTTGCTATTTTCACACTATAGGTAAATATGCATTGACACTATACTTATTTGTTATCATACCAAACTTAAAATGGATGCAAGGCTATGTTTTTACGCCCATTGTCAAACCAAGTAAGGAAGTTATAGGCTTGCTGTTTTATCAGTAGTATACTTCTTAGGGAGGTGAAACATGGCAAATATTTGACCAGTATCACTTTGAAGAAAGATTTTTTTTCTTTAACATCATCAAATTGTCAAACCTGTAATAATTTAACAGGTATTTTGATTTTTTTTTTCTTCATTTCTTAAATACTTGATTAGGTGATCCTTGCAAGTATTTTACCGGTATCACTTTTTTTAGAAAGAGAGCTAGATTTTAAAATTTTATTTAATTCCTTAATCATTAATTTTATCTGTTTTTTAAACATATTCACTCAATAATTTATCTTTTTTAGATGATTTTTACAAAGGATTTTTAAAGTGAATTGATTTTCATTTTTATTTATAAAAAACAAAATTTTACCCCACCCCACCCCCCCAAAAAATTGCAAGAACACTGTTCTTATATGAGCCAGACTTGTGGGTAATTTTTATTTTGTTATTCATTCCATGAATTCTTACAAGACTTTCTAAAATATCTCATTTTTTCATTTGAATAAAATTAAAATGAAATGTCAGAATCATTCAGAATTTCTTAATGGATATATGCATTAACAAAATACATCAATAATTTTAATTAACAAGTATAGCTTGTGTAATTCAAGATAAGCCAGTAGAAAGTCTGATATGTCATTATAAATACCACTCTTTTTCTCAAATGAAATTGAATTTTGCTGATATGGACATGAAATTATTTCTGAACATCATATCATTTAAAATTATCTTACATTTTGATGTTGCATAATTTATATGGAATTACATATTTTTTTTAAGTGTACATGGCTATAGATATTTGCATTTTATGCTTCACAGATATCAGATCAATATTATTTACAATTAATGTTAAAATAGAAAATTAATTAAGTCAAATATATGATGAAGCCTTTTCCTCCTTATATATAAGTAAAACTGTAGAGATGAGTATCTGGGAGGAAATATAGAGGAGATAAAATATATGTATTGGAGAAATTTACTTCTGGGTTCAACGGAAGTGTATGTACTGGTAAATGAAACAATTCCAAATATTGATATAATTGATAAAGCAAAGCATTAAATAAAATGACTGGAAATATAATGTTGAAACTTCTTTATGATCGAGTTTCACTTTCAGTTTATTATACAGATTGTATTATCAAATTACATGTATCAACAATATAAATAGTACAAGAAGGATTAGAATTCAAAAAATGGGAAATTATAGAATAATAATATAAAATTTCACTCTTTTTTACCAAAATTATGTAATGGTTTGCTAACTGTATTGAAATATAGAAATAACAATTCAAGAATAAAAAAAAATTATGCATTTTCAGTAATTAATTTTTTTTTTTGGTTTTTAAGACTGGCAAAAAACTGAGGCTCAGAAGCACCGCGAGAAACTTCTACTGGAAGAGCTGGTCGAGATCGTCAACAAGCGTGACGAGATGGTTCAACATCTAGACTCACAGGAACGAGCGTAAGTCAGCCAGCGTCTCTTTCTTGTTTACTGCGAAATCACAAATTTTCACGTTTAATTTTTCGTTGTTTTTGAGGTGTGAAGACACCCAGGAATTCATGTCCACCACGAAATGTAAAATGTGACATTACATAATTTCTCAACAATTCTACATCCAAGAAATCAAATCCCCATGAACCAAAAGTTTTTCTTAAAGCTAAGAAAATTTAACCCCACAAAAATATGTGATTTTACAGTATATCCTCACAACAATATTGTAAGGAATATAGCAATACACTTGAGATTGAGTTATTAATGTGTGTATATTGGAAGTTATAGCTTTGCATGATAGAAGGTACACAAGTAATACTTTTAAAATATCTCAGTGTGCTATTTTATTAGGGGATACTCTCGGGCTGGTTTGCAATATACCTTTTTTTGGCAATTAATGATTTTTTTAATGTGACAGTTTGAATTTACACAATAAATGTAATAAAAAAAAATGTAATGTGAATGGATGTAGATAAATATGTATATATATTCAATAACTTATAATTACATGAATATAATTTTTTTTAATTTCCAAAATATCACAGTTTTTGAAAAATAAAATCAGCAAACATACAATATTTAAGCATTTCTGGCTTTAAAGAAATTAAGATAAAGGGGGACAAAAAAGCTCAGCTTGATTCCCTATGGTAAATTATTCAGAGAAATAATTGTTACATTGAATACATGTATTTGTAAGGTGGACATAAGTAATTTTAATGCATATATAAGGTAACATAATATAAAGATTACTGTTATTTTAACCAGTACAGGAATTAATCTCTGAAAAAGAGTAAATGTTCATAAATTTGATTCTTGACCTTATTTAGTTTCTCATCTTTAAAAAGAGAGTAAATTAAATGTCAAATAATTTGGTTCTTGACCTCATTTCTCATCTGTAAACACAAGTGATCATTTAAATTGATACAAGTACGTATAAGTTTTATCATATTTTGAAAGCATATAAAAATTTTGTATTTAACTTGTTCATTCTACCATAACTTTGATAAAACATAGTTTCTTTCCTTTCATGACTGTCCAAATATTGTTTTATAGAGATTAGCAGGTTTCTGGGTGACTTGCTTTTTTCAAACTTTTATTTGCGTTATCACAAATTAGCATTATCTGTTATTCTTAATCTCTCTCTCTGGTTTCCTGCGTAAGATCTATCAGGGCTGTGTCCCTGATCTTCAGGCCAACTCCAGTCAAATGCGAAAAAAGATGTCTCAACTCCCTGTGTAACGTTATTAAATATCATTTTCAAAAGGTGAAACAAAGGCTCGTTGAAGATCAATTGCTAATTGAGGCAGCGAAGATCATCCATCTATTTCATGGGAAATTGTCATTAATTGTCATTACAGTTCCAGAGCAAATCATGCCCAATACTTAAATAATAGGTTATAAAGATTTAAATTATTGGGTAGGATGTTAAACATGCTCATTCCGGCTTTGTTCCGTGCCTGACTTGGGCTTGGGCCGATTCCTGCCAGAGTCTCGCACTGACAGAGTACCTGCTTAGTGCACACTGCTGCAGTGCTCTTATTAACAGGTGAGGCTAATCGCTGCCACGACTCACTCTCTGCTCCTTATCCACCCCTTTAATAAGGAATATCAATCATATATATTAATTAGTTTTCATTCTGATCAGATGATATTTCCAAGAAAAAGAAACTTGCAAATTATTTTGAAAGTCTATATTTGATTTAATATAATACATGTATATTCAAAATAAAAAATAAAAAAAAACAAAATTATAAATTAATATAAAAATTAATTGAAGAAAGTTTTAATTGACATTTTTTTTTATCATTTATCTTTTTTTTTTTTTTTAACATTTTTCTTAAAGTTATATCCTAAATATAGGGTAATGAAGGGAAAGCTTATATATTGAATAATTAAAGATTATTACTTAGAAGAACAAGCCATCAAAAATGCATTTTATTTTTTATCATCAGCGAAAACAATTATCATTTTGTTTAATTTTCCAGTATTTTCTCACATTATTTATCATAAAAAATGTTTAACTTTGATTTATTTTAACTTAAGATTATAAGAGTGCAAAGATGTCTCCAAGAACTTTATTATAAGTATTTTTTTTTCAACACTGAACAAAAAAAGTGATCATCAGCTGATCACATTATCACTGAAATGGTTATTATGAAGATGTTATCCTGCTATTATTTCCCGTGTAAATATTTTATTGGTGAATCATTCTTCAAAATGGAAACTTAAGAACTTGGACCTTCTTCCCTAGAAATAAATGTCAGTGTTCCTTTTGTCCTGTTTCAGGGGATTTGTCTTAGTAATCTGCGGCCGGCGCTCTAAGAGTCTTTAATTGTACTCTAATCTTATTATGGTTCCAAATTCTCAAAACACATGCATGTCATTGCTGTTTGAGAACATGAATTTCCTTCTTATGTATTGTCAGCGACAGTGTCAGAGGTCCCAGATGTCTACATACTTACCAAATATTCTCACCGATTACCAGTACTTGTTTCTTGAACCATTTCTAGAAATTTGTCTATAGGTTTGGCAGATCAATGGGAGAAATATGTGACAGTTGTTTTGTGAATCATAATTTCATAATATTTTGATAAACTTTAAATTAGTATTTTACTTTGATAATATTTTTCATGTTCATTACTTGTTAATTTTCTTGCGCTTTATATTTTTTTCATTTTACAACATTCAAAAATGTTCAAAGAGTACTTCATGTCAAAAAAATACATGTTCTTCAGCTTATTAAGACACAATTAGGACATGGCCTGCTATTTAGGACTTACATTTGTAAAACGTTTTAAATAATTCAGATCTGTAATAATAGGACAGGAAATATTTCTCCACTGTTTACGGATACTAAAGCAAAGTAATATTCCCTTTCCTGATTAGCAATTACAGAATTTTTTTTTACCATGACCAATTTGTATTATGTTTTATGGTGACAATGTTTTCTAAGAAACATTGTTTCATAGTTAATGGTGCAGGTAGGCTTAATCTCTGGTGAATTTCAAACTCCATACATCCTTTAATGACTCCATTTATGCACACATTATTCACTCATTCTAAGTCCCTTGAGTGTTTGCTTGACTTTGGTCAGACAAAGTGTAAGTAATGGCCTCAAATGAAGTGAATGATGGAGCAGCATTTTCCATTATCAGCATTGTGTTTACAGTGATTTTGTGTAATTAGCTATCACATTTATGTTTTTTAATTAAAAAGTGTTTAATGAAAGTTCTGCATGCTTTTACCCATTCCTCGAGGGTATCAGAGTTGAAATTTTGAAATGTACTCATGATTACATTTTTTTTTAATATCATTATCAATGGAATAAATTTTATTTCTTACAGCATTGAAGATGATGAAAATCTGGATAGAAGAATTACAGAGGGTAAAATTCTACATGACAAAAAGGAATGTTGTATACAGTGATGTAAACTGCTTTGTAGACCCATAAATCTACACCATCCGCAGGTGTGTACAACCTTAAACAATCACTATATAGTCCCAAGAGCAGGGGATACCAGCTTAAAAGACCACCTATCCAAGGAAATCTTCCTGATTATTGGTCACCATGGTAAAAAAAAAACTTTCAGTTGATATGAGAGTGATGAACAGGGTGCAAGGGCTCCTTTTTTACACTCACACGCAATATTGCAAATCTTGTCCATCGTGTCCCAAACTTTGCCTTATACTTTTAGCTTCCAAAGTAAAGGAGTTGTGGCCAGTATTTTTGTTATTGTGTGTTCACATTGTCATTGTTTTGTGACACCAGCAAAGTACAGATTTAGGGTAGAGTATTATACGTAGATCTGTATAATTTTTGTCTACAACATTGTGACTAAACAAATGTTTTATGCTATATTTTTGACTTGCTGTATGGCTGAGTACTGTAATGTTAATTGTACTGTATGTATGATATTTGAAAACATAGTAGTACACAAATTTAACAGTTATATGACTGCCATTTGATCATTTTATGAAAAAAAAATGAAGACTTTGATTGATGAAAGTCTGATATATTTCAGAATCGTGCATTTATCCCATGTTTTTTATCGAAGTTTCTGAAAAATAATGTATTGTTTTGTGAAGACTGTATTTATTTGACATTTTGTAATTGTTCAGGATTTGTCTAGTACTTGTTTGAATAATTATCAAGTCTTTAAGGAGAGTATTTGTACTCCACTCCTTGTAAAACTTGATGTTTTTTTTAAGGAGAGTATTTGTTCTCCACTCCTTGTAAAACTTGATGTTTTTGAATATACATTTAACAAAATTTGGTAGTTATGATATTACTATCATGGAAAGAAACATGAATTTCACCTCTTTTTTTCAATTTTTTTTTTTCATTTATATGAAAATATAAAATTTCTGAAAATATTTTATAAACATTGATATACTCAAAAATTTCTGAAAATATAATAATGTCCTTGAGACTAGCGAGATAAAAGGTCATGGGGCATTTGATAAATTAAGATTGATTAAAATTGTAAAAAGAATGAAAAAAATTCCCCTAAACCCCCCCCCCCCCCCCAACATACAAACAATGGTTATAATAAATCGGTCGTCAAAATAAGTGGTATACAATGATATTTGGTAATAAGAGGGTACTTGGACTTTTCATATTCATATGCTCAAAAAAATAGTTTGGTCTGAATTTGTCTCAACTGTTTATGTAAACTCAACAGAATCTTTGACCTTGACATTTTGTATGTAAACTCATTTAAATATTTGACCTTGACATTCTGTCACATTTTATCATAGCAAGTTAACCAAATGCCGTCAATATGTTTCTGGTCCATTGATTTAATGAATATATGACCTTGACATTTTGTATGTAAATTCAACTAAATATTTGTCCTTGACATTCTGTCAAATTTATCATAGCAGGTTAACCAAATGCCGTTATTGTGTTTTTGGTCCATTGTTTTAAGGAATGTATAGTAATACATTTATATTCACACGGATAAACTTACATTGATTTGTTCTTGTGGTGCTTTATTTGTTGCCATATACCAAATGTGCTGTTTCATTATACTCATCAATTTAATTGTACTGATATAAATGCTAAACAAAACAGTTGTGTTTTTGATATCTTCAGGATTTTGTTGGTTTGCTTGCTGAATACTAGTATTTAAATAAATATTGTTATTAACAGAGCATTAAAAAGGAATCATTCAGTATTTTTCCCATTATGACACACGTGGAAGAAAGTTTCTGCAGAAGAGAAAAATTAAAAATAGTACACATATGTCAGTTTTTATGCAGTGTTGGTATTTTTTGTGTGTACCCATTTTGTCCTCGGTAACCTTTGGTGCTTACTTTGACAGCTGGGAGGGACGGAATGTGATTTTTTTTCGGCAAAATTATTAATTTTTTAATTTTTCTCCAGCAGTTTCCCCCCTATCCACGTTGGTAAAGCATACAAAGACATCGTTTTTAGATTGCTTCGCCACTGTTAGCTCTCCTGGGCTAGTCATCAATGTTTGACAGGTTTTTGTAAAGTTATTAAAATGCAGAATAAATAAACCTATAGGAACTCTAGGGAAATGGGTCTGCTTTCTTACGCGGATGAGCAAAGCGGTGCGGGTTAAGGACAGATACGTACAATCTGTCAAACGGACTGAGTTGGCCAGCATTCCGGGTGTGCACCGCTCGCCCTCACGGTCGCAGGACCACACATCGTACTACTTGTCTTGATTGATGTCTCAAAAACACTGTACTCTAGTCTGCACAAGTAGCTTTGTTAAAAGGCGTTAGTCTTTTGATGTCCAGTTTGCCGTCGGGTAAATTGTTTCTATTTGTTGCTGTTGAGAGCCAAGATATGTGGAGGTATTATATCGAGCAACTGGGTGGATGTCTTGTTAATGAATACAGAACAATGAAAGCCTTGTTACTATACAGATAAAAATATTTAAATACTTATATTAATGGAATTTTTGCTGGCGACAATTATATATTCTCCTGTATCGTTATATTTTTTTTCCCCGTCCCGAATCAATGAAATATTTTATTACAAATTAGGTTTGGTTTGATAATGAGGCAAATATCGTGTACATGATGATTTTAGAAACCTGCAAATTGCTGCAAGACAGTTTACACACAGGGACCATCTGTTTCTTTTCTGTCGTTCAAACCAAGCGGTCAAGCAGTTTAGCGACATTTTCCGTCTGATGAAATGCAATCAAATCCTCGACCAATATTAATCGTAATAACTATCAATAGAAATGAAAGACAAGTCCGTCAGAACACGGCGGAACTGAAGCACCTGCAGTGACTTCGGTAAGGAGACTTAATCAGTTTACAAAGTAATTAATTAGCAACGCTTTGTTAATGCCGTTATGTACGCTATTTCTACGTTTTCTCTTTATTGAAAATGTGAAAAGACGCACAAGACTTAAAAAGCCGCAAGCGCATGAAATGATTGGTCAGCTCCGTACCTGAGATCGATTGCGCATCTCTCTCTGTGATGGGACCAGCGTTCCTTAGTCCTTATCTACAAAGATAGGCTTCTTTGCTGTAGATGGGTAGATTACTTCAACAGAATGCATCTTCTGTCACTTCGCTGCCATTGAAGTTAATCATTTTCGCATAATATTTGATAATGGCACTGATTAGCGTTGAAGCTGACCGACGGTGCTTTTGTACTCTGATTAGTTTTAACACATTTTCACAAGGTGCTTTTCTGTTGTTTTCCATTCCATTAGATCTTGGACGAGAATATCACAATATTAGGTGACAAGAGAAAATATCTTATTGGAAAATACCGTTATTTGATGGATAAAAACAGCACTGAATGAATTAGATTGTCTGTCGAGGTACAACACGCAACACGCGTAGCCTTTCATCTTTTGTAGCTTTAGCGCGCGACTCCTCTTTGTATCGCGCCAAGTTGACGGCGTTTTCACGGTTTCCCTGATGACCGAGCGCGTGCACAAGGATGCGATTTGTGGTGTATGCTAACGATGCGCGGTTCCGGGTGGTGTTTAATTGATTCTAGAAATTTCAGAACAGGATGAGAACGGTTGTATCTTCTTTTTCGACCGATAGAAAGGCCAAATTATGACTGCCCTCAATTTTCAAGAACTTAATGAACACTGGCCGAAATGTTGTCACGCTAATTTCGCAGTGTCATTTTGGGTACAATGTATCAAAACTGTCGTTTTCATTATTTCCAGACAAATAAAGTGAGGGGTTTTGGCGGGTACCTTGTTGGGGAAGGGCTCGAAAATTGGAACAAAACAAGACAGAATCTCCGCTACTCCCAATTTTGGTCGATCCCCCAATTTCATATATAACCATGTACTTGCAATATGACCTTTTACTATGATACTGATCTTCAGATCTCAGCATGCAGCGAGTCCCTAAATAGCCGGGCCTGCTTGACCATCTTCTCAAACAGTGAGGGCCAACCCATAATGACGAAACGCGACCCAAAAGCGCGTAATAGACTCATTACTACTCGTCCGTGGGTTCTTTAACAATGGATAATAGGTTTACATTCGTAATCATTAGCTTCCAATAAACATATTTTTACTTTTTCATTTCTTTATTCGTGTTCTGAGGCTATTATTGTCGTATTTTCCACTGCGCTTGATGTATTCAGAGCGACGCTTTAATGAAGATACGGCAGACTCAAGTTTTGACAAATAAAGATGTTTTACCTTATAAGTTACATAATTTGTTTGGGAGTACATCTTTAACAAGATTGAATGCCCGATACCTCTTATCCCGCTGGGAAAATCAGCCTAAACTTGCTCAGCGCTGAACGATACACAAACTGAAAACCTCGTGTTATTTCGCAGTGTGCAGGCGAGGGCGAATGCGTACCGTTGGCATGTACATGTACGCAATACCGGTATGCCGACACGTACGCAAAGCGATGGCAAATCTTGTGGTATGACGCAATGTTAAAACTTGAGCAAACGCAAATCTGCAGCAAAGGCAATGTGCAACTTAAAGTGAACGAGCATTTAGCGATTTATCCTGATTTGTCAAGTAACCGTTACTTATAGCATGTCCTCCCATCCTGGTACAAAATAACAAAACTGAAAACAGGAAAGATGCTGCGTAAAGTTTATTTTCTGAAAGATATTTTAATTTGAACAAACAAGTTTGACACTTCTCTCTTATTGAAATCTGCGTCATTCATGATAAATACCCTTTTTGTAGACACACATACCCTTAAAAATCATTTATTTCTTTGAAGAAAATAGAAGTAAATGTCAAGGTATAGCTAGTCGCATTTTCTCAACTCCCACATGTACAAGAATAAAGATCATTATGTGTTGATACAAACGTAAGATTTTGTTTTCTTGGCTTACTTTTTTTTAACATCATAATTTTATAGTCATGAGTTCTTCATTTGAAAGTAAAAGGGTTGTTAAGTACTTTGTTAAGTACTTTGTTGAGTATATTACCTGAGTCACGCTAGTACAGAATTAAATCAGTCGGCATATTAGACAATTTATTTTGATGTCCTATCAAAAAGCGAATTCGTGGTCAAAATTTACCGACAACTATTTTATCTTGTTTCTATTCTAAAGATTTCCAGACATAAGCCTTTTTAATTCACTAGAAGCGTCGAAAAGATTTCCACGGGGTGCTGTGTCCTAACACTTTAGCGCGAGAAAATCCGGATTATTTTTCTAGAGCGCTTTGGTCGCTGTGGCTTCTGGGGGGATTATCGAAGCCCTAGAGACTCCGCTCGGTCAAAGCGGTATAGCACATGGGGCACACAGTCCTCCCTCACAAAGGCTGCTTGTCTCTCACGGGGGAAAAGGAGGGGGTGAAGATTCCCGGAGTCTTCTCTCCATGAATATGTTAGTTTAGTTGCAGAAATGCTGTTTACAGTACATACATTCATATTAGCAAGTTGATAGAAAATTCGAAAAATTAGATACAAAACAATTAATTACGATAGCTTCTAGAATATGTATTCGAATTATCAGAAGTGGAGATAAAGGTAATATCTGCAAAGTTTAATTTTCTGACCCTCCAAAAATACTAAGTACTTATAATACAAAATGTTCGATGTATATAATAATGCGCGAAAGAGAACATGTATTTCATGTCGAGGACCTCCAAAATTTGCCTCCTCATGTCCGTTGAAGTACCTTGTCAAATTTAGGTCTTATTTGGTCCAGGTGTTCAAAACCTTCCAGTACACTACATTGCCACACAATACATGCTTAAGTAGAATATTTTTATTATTTATTTTTTACAGAGACTGTCGATATTCCATTTATAAGGGTTAAATTTTACTTTGTTTTCCATTCATTTAGTGGCTATCAAGTCAAGATTTAAGGGCGGAAGTTAACATGCTACAAAAGTTACTTCGGTCATTTTTTGAGGGGTACAAGTAATAAAAACTAAAAATACAAAATCCAAATTTTTTTTTGGCGATTCAGAGAAAAAGTGTGACAGTTGTGAAATCGTGGTGTTTCCTTATTAACTCAAAAAGTCTCCCAAGTTTCGTTTCCTGTGAAATTGCTTTCGTATCCTGGGGAATCTTGAATCCAATTCTGGCACTTGAAAAAAGACGGTTTCAAATAATGGGTAAGTTTTGTTGTGCATTCAATTCAAGTCTTAAGGTTAATTTAACTTTTTTCCTTGATTAAATTGGAGAACTTCTTTTTTTAATAATATTTGATAAATCACAGAGAGATTAATTAAGAAACATGTTTTATTTAATGTGTTTAAACTTAAGAAGCATGGTTATTTTTTTTATGTGTGAAAACTTGCCTAAAAGTCAAAATTATATTACGGTAATATCATTTTAATTAGGAGGCTCATATTAATTATCAAATGACAGAAAATAATAAAAATCTCTTCATTTTTACTGATATTTTATAATTTTGCGACTCTTAGCTAACTTTAATAAGTTCATGCATGTAAAAAGCTAATAATGTTAAAATTTGTTATTGCTAGTTATGTTGTCAAGATGGTAATATATTTCTCTTAATTCCTTGGTATTTTCCATAAATTTTTTGAGTTGAACATTTAAAAATTGAGTACTTTTAAACAATGCAGCTTGCTAAGTTCCAAAATTTTCAAGGACGACACTCGATCAGTGAA